CACTTCTAGGGCAATGGAAAGGGCATGTGCCTTCCACTGTGGAGGCCTCTGGTCCTGTGAAGAAGGAATATTACTAGGATTGGGCTCCTGCAGCTTTGTCCATAGAGTAGGGAATGTAATACATTGGGATATCAGAAGCTATGATGATCATAGACTTGGATATCTGGAGGCGGGACGGAATCCAGGAGCCACTTTCATGACCCAGGAGAAGCAAGGATCTGGCCTCTCCAGGAATCCTGTTCATATCCTCAGGCTGTTCAACATAATACCTAGGGGCACTCTTGAGTCCAGTAGATAAAACATTTGAGCACTGCCCTTACTTTCAGAATCCAATCTTGCTTATATCACAGAATCATTGTACCTCGAGTCTCACATCACAGTCTGTGAAACTAGAGCAGCATCCTCATAGGGCTGGTGTGAGGGAGAAGATGTTGGCTGTTGCTCCTGGTCAATTGTGTGTCACTTCATGGGTGGCCTCTTCATGTCAACACACTTTACCCATCAGATATTCTCAAAAGACTTGCTCCCCTGTTTGAGCCTTCATGCATTTACCCGGAATTTCATACACAACCTTTTCTGCTTAAAAGTAATTTATTAGGCTATTGACCTCTCTTGCTGAAGTAGCAGCAACAATTTCTTACATTAATAACGGTTACTAGCTGGCAGGGAGTTTTATTGACCCCTGTTTTGTATCATTTTTGAAGGGAGATAATGCAAACTTAACTAAAGTAAAAATATTAAGTGCATGAGTCAGAAGCTCAATGCAAACTGATGCTAATTCAAGGTGAAACATCTTCTCTTTCCTGTAGGGATGCCTTCACATATGTGCAAGAAAGAAGGTTTTGTATTAATCCCAATGCTGGATTTGTCCACCAACTTCAGGTAAGAATCTCTTATTGGTGGATGATATTTGTTCTAACTTGAAGGAAAATAATTATATCTTGCGTGGATGTCAATTACCCTTTTCAAACAGTAGCCAAAATCGTGTTGCTTATTAAATCACATTTGGGTCGGTCTGTTGAATCAGTGGGGGTTTGTTGAGTCAACTCCTCTAAGTTCCAGTGATTCAAATGGGTCTACTCAAACTGCAGCTTACTTTAACACAATAAGGTCCAATTAGAGTAGACTCATTTAAATCACTGGAATGTACAGAGGAGCTGACTCACTAAATCTCTCTTGATTCAATGGGCCAACCCTAGTGCCATCTGCTACACTAAGCAACAGGCTTTCAGCAGATGGTTCAGGGTGCTCATGTGCAGGGCTTGAAAAATTTTAGAATGTGTCACCAGTCAGTATGACCAGACTATAGTCTTGCAATTTATTGGGATTGGGAACCACTGATTTATACCCTCAGATTTGGGTTGCTTTATTACCTGCGTGCCTATAGGGTCATGAAGCTTGTATTTTGAATGCAGAAATAAAACTGAAAGCAAAAGCACCCAGCCTCTTAAGGAGCTACAGTTCCCTCCTACCCCAGGAAGTGTCCTTATTCGGTTTAAATTGGGAGCAGGGAATCTCCATATTCTCCAGCATGGAACTACTCTACATTCTCCTGCAGAGCTATATCTCTATGTGCCCCTCGAACTTGCGAGAAGAGAGCTGTTTTCCTTTTGCAATGGGAAATGGGAGGGGAGGACTGCAGAATGAGAGAGAGAGAGGCAGAGGGGAAGGAGGCAGGGAGGGAGCTGTGACTCGTTGAGCAACATTTTTCACTCGTCACAGACAAGTGGATGAGTGCATTTTTCAAGCCCTGCTCATATGGTATTTGGCCTTTCTGGTAATTCTTCTCTCTCTCTCTCTCTCTCTCTCTCTCTCTCTCTCTCTCTCTCTCTCACACACACACACACACACACACACACACACAGGTGCCTCGCATAGCGATTGCTCCGTTTAATGAAGAAATCACTTTGCGATGATATTTTTGCGATCGCTTAGCAATAGTCCCTGTGGGGAAAATTCGCTTTGTGATGATCGCAGGGAAGCGATCATCACAAAGCCAAAATTTTCGGCCAGCTGATCGGCGGTTCCAAAATGGCCGCCGGGTAAACAAAATGGCCGCCCGCTGTGTTGCCTCGCTTTAGAGGCACTGAAAATGGTCGGCCCATGGAGGATTTTCACTTAAGGTTAGTTTTTAAGCCCATAGGAACGCATTAATAGTGTTTTAATGCGTTTCTATGGGCTTTTTAATATCGCTTAACAGCAATTTTTGCTGCACGGATTAACATCGCTAAGTGGGGCACCACTGTGTGTATATACAAGGGACGATTATGTCGTCCCTTGTATTGTCTGAAATCATTTTAGGCACTTGATCTATCTCCAAAGATCTTCCAGGGTATTTTTAATTCTGCTGATTCTCTCCCCTTCCCTTAGCACACCTAAATTTTCCTCGGCTCCAGGGTTAGAATTAAATTCCTAAATTTTCTCCTCTGATTTCCTCCAGCCCTTCCTTTGGTTGGCATGCATCATCCACCACCCTCACATTTCCTTGTTTGTTATTCCATGTCTCCTGTTGAATATAGTCCTCCTTTAGTTGCTCATTGAATGATTTCAACTCGTATTTGTAGGATCTCACTATTTCTAAAATTGCTTGAAGCATAGATTTTGTTTCATCCCAAAATTTAGTTTAGTTCCCCAGAATTGTTGCCAATGATGTTTTCAAGAGAAAGATTCTTAAGTTTATAATGACAAAATAATACCAAACTTCCTTCCCTAAAGTATAATTAAATGTCTAATTAATGTCCAATTTATTTTCCTTGTGTCTCCCTGCACTCCTCCTCTCTCCAGATTCACCACTGCTCAATCATTGGTGGGGGATAGGAGACACTATTTCTGCCATAGAGATTGTCTCATCCAGGGATAGTAAAATAATACAGTTAAAAAATGTTTCTCACTCAGTGGTAACACTCCTGCTGCCGGGAGGGAGGGAGCTGCCGCCGCGAGAGAGATGCGGGGCCGCGCTGGCCATGGAGGAAGGGAAGCGGCACGCGTTTGCTCGCCCCCCCGCCACCCACATTTCCCCTCTTCCTTCTCCTCCTCCTGCCGCCGCCCCCCCAAGCCTCTTCCCGGCGCCGCATTTTGGGGGGGGTCGTCTAATACGGCCCGTCGCCTAATACAGCGGCATATACGGTAGATTTTGTTTCATCCCAAAATTTTCATTGTAACATTATGTCCCAAGATGTCAAGTACTTTTATTCCAAGTGAAAGATGCCCAGTAGCTTAAAGCAATCAGTCCAGTTCCATTGATAATTGCTTCAATAAGTCCACTTTAGATTACCTTTAGGGTTAATTTTGAATCCAGTCTCATACATAAGTGGACAGCCCAGTTCATTTGATGTTTATATTCATGGCCTGCTATTTTTTTGTAATCCAGCCCCGAAAACGGTTCATTCCAGTATTGATTCTATCCCGGTCTGTGTTCCAGTCAGGTTCAGAACCCAGGATACATCCAAATGTTTTTATTGGTCCACATGAGCCAGATATATATTCCAAGATGAATTGTCTTTGTTAGACTTTCCAGGTTTAATTTGTCTATGTTTTAGTGAGTTCTCAGGGGCGAAAAGGAAAACAGATTCCAAGCTTGAGTATCCAAGGTCATGATCTGGGCTTTTTGCCAACGCTATAGATAGCCACAACAGTTAACTCCCTGCGTTGTTTGGCTAATAATAATTTTAAGAGGAAAATTTCTTAAGTTTCTAATGCCAAAGTAATACCAGACTTCCTTCCTTGAAGTATAATTAAGTGTTTAATTAATGTCCAATAAATTTTCTTCACGTCTCCTTCCCCCTCTCCAGATCCACCGCTGCTCTACAAGTGGTGGAGATAAGAGACACTTATTTCTGGTAAAGGGATTATTTTGTCCAGGGATAGTCATAGAGCAGTACAGTTCTAATTTTGTATCTCACCCAGTGTTAACAACAATGTTAATTAGCTGATTTATCGCTTCTCCATTGCCGACTGTCGATGACTTGCAAGCAAGCTATTTCAGCTGCTTGTTTCCGCCCACTGGTTGATTAGGGAGTTTCCCGGATCAAATGTGGGTAACCACCGTCCCCCTCATGATCAACAGGCTTCTCCCCCATTTCACCACCTCTTTGGGATGGTTTTAACCCCCTGGGGGGTATCAAACAGGTTGAAATTCAGCCCAGGGGACAGAGCTCCGTCGTCCTGCTGCTGCCTTGTTGCAGCATCAAGCCGGAAATCGCCTTTCTGATGATTCTGTTTGTTTAACAGTTGCATGTAATTGAATGTGCCTAAAACAATACAGGATTTGGGTTATTTTGGCTGGGTAGCAGAAAGATTGCAGAGCAAAAATCAAGGACGTGTAAAAATAGTATTTGAGATTTCTTTACCTTCTTTTGCTCGTTTAGCTAATTGTCCTTGTCTGGGTAGATTTCTTTCTATATCTCTCAGTCTCGTTCATCTGCCTTTTTTTTTAAGGAATACGAAGCCATCTATCTAGCAAAATTAACTATCCAGAGGATGTCACCTCGGCAGTTGGAACGATCACTCTCTGTTACTACAGGTAAACAGATTTGTTGATACTCCTAATGGCTAGGTAGTTTTTCTATGCAGAAAGCATGGCCTTGGGTACTTACTTCTGCCACATGCTCATGTGTGGTCATTAGTTCCAGGGTACCCAAAAAAAAAAGCTGCTTAGAATTGGTTGAGAATGTGAACCAAGTTAGGAGCTGGTTCACACCGAATTCGTTTGCACTTTGATGGCACTTCTGGAGTGCAGTGATTATGTGTCAAACAATAACTGAAACCATAGAGTGGTACCATGGTATGGTTCCCAAGTCCTCCAGTCTTTTATCCTGGTAATAATAAGATGAAAGTCAAGGTGCTTTCTGTGGCAACTTAACCCTGTTAACTATTGTGGATTGTTTGAAGCACACGTTTCCTTTTTTAGATACACCATCCCTGGTTGGTTGGTTTTTTAACCTGTCCTTATAAATGGAATTTTGAGTGGAATTTTTACTAGTTGAAGCGAAATCTAAAGCATTTTGAAGCATCAGCTCTGGTTCAATGGAAACAGTTCTTTTCCTCAGGAAGGCTTCATGTTGCTATCCTCATGACCAGCTTCTCCAACGACCGTGCCTGTTTTACAGGAAGTCTAAAACGGAGTCATGAAGAGGATGAAGAAATCTCCAGTATGCAACCTGCAGCTCAGAACGGTTGACCTAAGGGCACCGTGGACTCATGGCAGCTGCAGATCTCAGCAAGAGGAATGGCCAGAGCTGATGATGTTTTTTATATGGGAGAATAGTCCAACTTCTTTATGCAAACCTTGCCCCGCCAGTAGCATACAAGGCAAAATTTTAAAAGGTATTTTGGATCATCCCTTGACTGTCTAGATGGCACTGATTGTTTTATTCCATTTTTTTTACACTTTATAGTTTTATCCTAAACCAAGACTTTGGACTTGCAAAGAGGTATTATTGCAATAATGCACTTTTCATACTTGAAATTTCTTTATTTGTATTGATAAAAGTTATTACTTAAGCAAAACGTGAGTTGGGGAGGGAATTATTTGTTTACAAAGTTTTGTGTAATTTATAACAAGAGTCTTTAGTAAAAAAAAGAAAAGGAATGAAAAAAAAACCTTAAAATTCATTGTGCAGTGCTTTTGTTTCTTTTTCCAAGTGTAGGCGTCAGGAAGAGTGTTAGCAAACACCAAAACACATTGCTTGGGCCATCATGAAGTGAAACAGTAGGTTCAGTGTCACTGATACATTCTCATTGCAGAAAATTCAGATTAGCTGACGTCCTTTTGGTCTTAAGTAACATTTGCTTAACTTGCTGCAGCTAATTGACGAATGCCAGTGTAGTCTTGCGTATGACCAAGATGTCGCCTTGCAGCTTGTCTGTTAACCACTGCAGGCGATGCAAACACCAGAAGGAAGTGGTGGCTGCTCTGCTGTTTCCCCTTGGCTCTTCCTGTTAAAACCAATGGTCCTTTATAAGACACCATTTTCCTGGGGATGGGATAAATCCGTAAGATTGCCTAACACAAATGAATGCTGGTACCTGGCATGTGACCTTTCCAGCTGAATGCAACCCACCAGCCCTGTTCTGTTTGCAGACTTTTCCCCTCCTTTTTCAGTCACAGCAACCGTTCGCTACAGACTTGACAGACCTATCTCTGCAGTTAAGCTGCCTGCTTAACTGTAAAACAGAGCAATGAAAATACGGTTGGGTCTTGAGCCTAAGTCAGTGTTCATGCAATGAGAATGGAAAGCACCGTGTTTCTTAGTGTGTCCGCTATGTATTGTCCCTGAGCCTATATGGTAATTCATTGATAATACTTCAATCCCACCCTTTCTTCAGCAACCTTATGGGAACAGGCATCGGGATCTCCTCCTCGTCCACTTCCTAACTAAGCTTCCATACATTGCCGAATGTCAGTATCCTCCTCCTTTTGTTAACTCTCTGTGCCCACAGAACAGAACTGAGGTAGAAAGTGGAAAAGATCAGATGCAGGTATCCTCCAGTCTAATCAGCACAATTTGAAGCACTGATAATTGCCAATCACTGGTCATATTTAGGATTGTATGTTGGATTTGCTGAGCTGCAACACCCAACCTAGGTCCAAAACTGAAAGAGTCGCAGAAAAGGAGTCGTGCAGAAAATCTAGGCTCCTTGTTTCTGGTGGAAACTTCCAAAAGTGGGCTTAGCTAATAAGAAATTATGGTCCTGTGCTACTGAGGAGTGCAAATTCCATACATTTTATTAAGCTGGAAGGAATAGGAGAGCCTCAGAAACAATCGTAAGAGTCCCTCTGATGTGACCTAAGCTTATCATTGGAAGAATGTTCAACTTGGCCATGCTTTTCAACAACTCTGCAGAATAAAAACAAAGTATGCCTTATTGAAGCAGTGCAATCAGGTTACTCTCGTACATCAGCTGAAGTTACTCAAACTTAAGGGGAAATATGCCTAAATATATCTATCCACATGTATGTATGCATACAGCCTCCTGTCAGATAGCCATTTCTATGCCTTGAAGAGACACTTTTCCTTGGTCGATATGGTGACATCGTGCCAGTGAGACTGTTCTTTGCTGCTTTCTGATATCTATCAGCACTGAAGATGGGAGTAGAGATGGGGGTACACAGGTGGCATTAACGAGAGTACAATCCCATGGGGATGGACGGTCCACTCACCGATCCACCGTGGATGTGGACAGCGTAATTCTACCAATGGCTCCGCGGTGCACGATTTGCTCACCACTCCTGGCAGGAGGTGGGAGGACAAGCCTCGCTGCAAATAAAAGCAGCGATCAGATCGCGCACCACGGAGCCATTGGTAGAATCGCATGGTCCGCGTTGGATCACAGAGTGATTCTCGTTAACGCCACCTGTGCAGGGGTATTCGTATATGAATACGATTACCCCTGTCTCTCCCCTGCTATGGTCCATGGGGTCATGAAGAGTCGGACACAACTTAACAGTTAAACGACAACCCGTATCTCTAGATGGGAGCGCTCCAAACAGACAGTGTTCCTGTCTGCCTTGCTTCTTCAATGAGTTTGTTTCAGCCTTTTGGGAAAACGTTCCTCTGCACTTTTCTTGGGGTGTGGGTGCGTGTGGCGGGGGCTGCAGTTAGATTCTGGCACGCTGCATCCATTCTGTGGCATTGGTTACAGAAGAATGCAAGATTTTTCCTGAAGTCAAAAGAAAAGAAAGCCTCATTGGAAGGCAAAACAAGAACACTCCTCCATAAGTTCCAAGAAACCAAAGAGAGACTAATCAGGGGATTTAAATTAGCAATGCTGAAATATCAGCAGCCTAGATTAGATTAGGCATCCTTCGGTCTTGAGAGACTATGGTAATGTGTTCTGTATGGAGGACAATCCCTTCCATACTGAAAACAAATACAGTCTGTCCCCTGTCCAGCTCCCTGATTTTGCTGCTTTCGGAACTGCCTCTTGGCCTCGGCCTGCTGGACAAGGGTTTCTTCAAATTGGGAGGGGCCATGAGCTGAACACCCAAAGGTCAAAGTTTCCCATCTGTCCATTACTAAGGCCTTCAGATCCCGCTTGCAGATATCTTTGTATTGCAGCTGTGGTCTCCCTCCGACCATCAGCCATTCTCACAACATGCCCAAGCCAACGTAGACGTCGCTGTTTCAGTAATGTATACATGCTAAAAATTCCAGCTCATTCTAAGACTATTAGGAACTTTGTCCTGCCAGGTGATACCAAAAATCCATCGGAGGCAACGCATATGGAAGATGTTCAGCTTCTTCTCCTGCAGTGCACAAAGGGTCCAGGACTCACTGCAGTACAGGAGTGTGCTCAGGACACAGGCTCCATAGATCTGGATCTTAGTATATGCCGTCAGCTTCTTATTAAGCCATACTCTCTTTGTGAGTCTAGAGAACATGGTAGCTGCTTTGCCAATGCGTTTATCCAGCTCAACATCTAGGGAGAGAGTGTCAGAGGTCATTAAGCCAAGGTACACAAAGTCATGAACAACCTCCAATTCTTGTGTGGAGATGGTAATAGAGGGAGGTGAGTCCACGCACTGGCCCATGAATTGTGTTTTCTTCAGGTTGAGTGTTAATCCAAAATCTTGGCAGGCCTTGCCAAAACGATTCATGAGTTGTTGGAGGTCTTCTGGAGACAGAGACCTTCTATTGCAGTTCCAAAGGCAACCTTCAGCATGACAGCAAAAAAGAACCCAAAAAGGGTCGGTGCAAGGGCACAGCCCTGTTTCACTCGGATGTCAAAGGGATGTTGAGCCATCAAAAACTATAGTGCCCTTCATTTCTTCATGAAAGGACCTGATGATGTTAAGGAATCGAGGTGGACATCAATCTAGGGGAGGATTTTAAAAAGGTCATTCCTGCTAACCAAATCAAAGGCCTTTGTGAGATCTATGAAGGCCACAAAGAGTGTCTGTTGTTCCTGACATTTCTCCTGCAAGTGTTTGAGGGAAAATACTATGTCAGTGGTGGATCTACAGTATGAGCTTGAAATCCACACTGTGATTCTGGATAAACTGTCTGCAAGCACCTAGAGTCTCTTCAGCACAACATGGGCAAGCAGCTTCCCTGCAATGATGAGAAGAGAGATGCCACGGTAGTTACTGCAGTCGCCCCTGTTATCTGCAGCTAAAATGATGAGAAAGTGGAGGTATAGTGCATTAAAAAGAAGTAGAAAAAGGATAGACAACATATCCCTTCAAGAAGAAATGCTTTGATGAAAAATCTGCAACTTTATAAGGTCAAATGAAAGTTGCTCTCAAAGCATCTGGAATAAATAAATCACCAGGAGTTAAATCAGCAGGAGTATATATGGGATTTGTCATTACAAGCTGTCAGGTCACATCTCACTTATAGTGACTACAAAGGTATAACTTTCAGAAAATCCTGATATTAACAGACCTACTCAGGTCTTGCAAAGTAAAGGCTGTGTCTCATTTTATTGAATCAATTCATTTCATGTTTATTCTTTTTTTTTCCTGCTGCCTTCAGCTTTCTTCAGGATTCTTTTCCATTGTCCATGTTTCCCGCCCATATGTAGTGATGGGAAATACTAGAGTATGAATGATCTTGGGCTTGATCTCTATAACACTCCTACTTTTGAGGATCTTTACTAATTTCTTCATACGTAGCTGATTGTCTAAGTCCCAGCTTTCTTATGACTTCTTGGCTGCCATTTCCATTCAGATTGATGATTGAAGCACAGTATAGAAAACCTGTAACTACAGTATTTCAATTTATTCATTATCCACATTAAAGTTACATAATTCTTCTGTGATCATTATTTTTCACTAGATTATTTTTCAACTATAATCTTGCTTCTGCGCTTTCCATCTTTTGGTAGGAGTCGTTTCAAGTCATTGATGCTTTCTGCCAGTAATTTGGTATCACTTACACATCTTAGACTATTGATGTTTCTTCCACCAATTTTCACTCCTTAATTTTAATATAAGCCAGCTTTTTGCCTGTCGTACCTGCATACCAATTGAACACATGAGATAAAGTGCACCTTTGCCAAAGGAAAACCATTCTGTTCCTTCTTATCCTGCCCACTTCTCCATAGTACGGTGTATTCATCAGGACAATGACATGTTGCCGTGTACTCCTTGTAGAATAGAAGCCGCAGCCAAGAAATCAGAAGAAAACAGATTTGGAAGGGCAGCTTCAAAGGAACTGGAAAAGATCCTTAAGTGTAAGGATATGCATCACTAGAGACCAATGTATGAAAGTGAGAGCTGGACCATAAAGAAAGCAGACCGCCGAAGAATTGATGCTTTTGAATTCTGGTGCTGGAGGAGACTCTTGAGAGTCCCCTGGACTGCAAGGAGAACAAACCTATCAATTCTAAAGGAAATCAACCCTGAGTGCTCACTGGAAGGACAGATCCTGAAGCTGAGGCTCCAATCCTTTGGCCATCTCATGAGAAGAGAAGACTCCTTGGAAAAGACCCTGATGTTGGGAAAGTGTGAAGGCAAGAGGAGAAGGCGACAACAGAGGAGGAGATGGTTGGACACGTCATCGAAGCGATCAACGTGATTTTGACCCAACTCCGGGAGACAGTGGCGTGCTCTGGTCCATGGGGTCACAAAGAGTCGGACACAACTTAACAACTAAACAACAACAGAGACCAAGGCCAATATCAGCCATACAACAGTTTTCCTGATGACTAGATACAGATCGGAAACCTGGAAAATAAAGTAAGATGACAGGGAACATACTTCATTTGAAATGTGGAATTGAATAAGTTTTATAGATATCATGGAGTGTCAAAATAAAAAAAACATTGTGTTTTAGCCAAAATTGAACTCTCATTAGAATGGGTAGCTCTCTAAAGTTTGGACTAAGAGAAAGAAACCCTTTCTTTCTCTGCCCACCCCCACCCCTGACACCCTTTCGAAATGGATGAGCTCTAGGAACATGTCAAATTACAAGGGAGGGCTGAAACAGCTGAACAGTCAGGAGCCCATCTATATACAAGGAGAAACTAATTACAAATTAACTCTAAAATATTTATTAGCACAACTTCTATTTATTTCCATTACAATGCTTAAAAAAATCAATAAATAAGTATATTTGAGAAAAGCGTACCCCAGAACACATAAAATGGAACACACATCCCAGCTTACAGCAGCTCTCTGTGGTTCAATAACATATTAATATTTTGTAAAGCTAATTACTGAACTATAAAATATCTTCTGTAACTACCTTTATTTGCCCCCAAACAAATCAGTACCTCCATGCTTCATGTTAAAATGACTGAAGGGGAGTTATACACTTATTACCATCTAGTGGCAAGAAATGTTATAATTTATCCAATAAAGGAACCCATCAAAAGGCCATGGGACTAGGATGTAGGAAACGCTTGTAAGGTCAGGAATCTGGCTGTTAAGGGATCTGTTGGGTGGGGCAAATGTGATGGAAGAACGCACTGGCAAAGAGTACAAGTGACCGCTTGAGCTGGAAAGATGCGTTCTGTTATACTTGGCCTTTTCATAGCCACATGGGGCTGCAGGCGGCATCTTGCTTCTGAGATGCCTTCTGCAATTCAGACAACATGGACAGATTTTGCTTCACGTTTACTACATAGGATGGCCTGAGATATTAAAGCCACATCAGCATAAGCCCTGGCATGCTTGAGCGTAATCACTCCTCTAAACGGTGACCAGGCGTGGGATCAACCACGCTTCGGAGGTCCTGACTGCAAACATTGTTTGGGAGGCAATAATGCCAGTGCAGTTAAGTCAGATACAGACTTTATACTTATTATTCTTGTGTGGCCACCTCTCCCACCCCAAAAACCAAACCAATCAATCCCAGTCTGGCTGCCAAGAAAAAGCAGCCAGGACACTTTTTTGGGGGGGGGGGAATACAAGGCAGGAAAACCATCATCGGGTAAAAAAACCACCCCTACCTTATACCATTTGTTAATACCCCAGCTATCAAAGGAGCACTGTGTAGCATGAGGAGGAGAAATGCATTCCAATGGGTTTCACGGTTGCCACGGATACCCAAAATAATTGGTCTTCAGTAAGGAAGGAACTGTCCCATCGCTAGAGGTGACCTCTTACACCAATTCGTTTTCCCTAAAGAGAATGAAGACAGTAGAAGCTCCACCACCAAGAGTCCATTGAGACGACAGCTCGGCCTTTCTTTAATTAAAGAACCGCTGATACATGTAGTTTTCTTCGGATACTAAATAGCCAAATTTTTCATAGAAAGCTACATTTTTGGGCAGGCACTCGAGAGTAATTTTGTAGCAATTCAGTCTCTTACTGAGCAGTGTGAGAGTTGACATCAACCTAAAAGAAGAAAGTTGATACTTTTAAAATAAAGTATAAATAAGGTACTGTATCAACGATGGTTTTCCTCGCCCTTTGCAGAAGACGAGCATGAGGGTGGGGAGGGGGCAACCAAGACTACCTATAGAAAGGTCATTTGGAGCTTTAAGGCTGTCCTCTGCCCTCACCCCATGCTTCTTGGCTTCCAACAAAAGGGAAATGGTGTCGATCTGTCACTTGAGTGCGAGAAGGGGAGCCAGACAAAATTATGGATTGTGGCCTGAACCCATATTGCTAGAATAGAGGCGGTGTTGTCAGGATCTGCAAGAGATTTGTTAAGTCCGCCAGGAAGCAGGTTCACTTTTGAGCAGAACCAGAGACAAGACCCGGACAGGGTCTAAAATCTTGGGTTATTATAAGCTGGGTGTCCTAAATGTATTATTTGCACCTCTTACCAAACAAGGGTTTTTGTTCATTCTTGGATGAATTTTTCTCCGCCTTTCCTCTCCAAGGGCCCAGGTCAGCAAAGCAGGCCGGGCTTGCATACCATGCAAGGCTTCCTGCCTGAGTGAGGCTATGAAGTTGGGTCTCCCCACATTCAACGCTAAAGAACGGGTTAAGAACAACGGCTGCAGAATCTCCAGTTCGTATCTTTGCTCACAGATTTACCAGCTGATTTTCATAACCGTGCTCTCTTGCAACATTGAGGGAACAATGCCGGCCAATCCCATAGAATTCCTGTAAGGATTACTACGAACGTGGGGACGTTGGAGATAGCAAAATGAGCTAAATGAGCTCATTTGGTAGAGTGTTAATGAACATCTATATTCTTATGTGACCAGCTCAGCGATGCAGCATGTATTTGCTGGTACCCACAGACCATCTGTGATTATCTTGGAGAAAGAAGCCAAGCCGTTAAGAGGTACTGTCCAAAATACTAGGCAGAAATAGTTATGAGCAACAACTTACAATTTCCCAAGTTGCTTTCCTCGGCATTCCCCACTAACAACAACATCTTCGATTCTTCCCCGCTGAAAACAACCAGGAAACATCATTAAACGACTCCAGGAGTGCTTAATCTTATTCCTGATAACAGTAGATATACATTTTTAATTCATCACACATACCTTTGCGCACGAGTGAGTGAACTTGTGTTCTATGATTAAAGTTGCCGTGGCCACAATCTCTCCCAGATTAGTGTCTTCCACAACTGTAACATAGTAATCTCCAGAATTTCGCATGCGTTCGAATGTCTCTGTGCGGAAATTAAAGGCAGAAACACTCTTTGTAAAAGGTAGTAGATTCTCCTGCTACATAAGAGATCCTCGTCACTGGGCCCATGTGTGCCTACTCAGGGGATAGAGAGAGGTATATCAGGCTCCATTGCATCTGAACGGAGAGAAACAATGGGAGTGTGCAAGCAATCAAACGGTAGGTTGTTGGAGAATACAGAGAGCAGGAACAGCCTTCATGGGTAGCCAAACTCCTTGCGTGCGCCGAACTCAACGATTCCTTTCCAAGAAAACATAACTTCTGAGAATCTGAAAAAGGGGATTCCTCCATCCCTCTGCTACGTACTTAAAACTTGCTACTTTTGTCTTGTTCCCTCGTTCTAAAGTGGAAAGGCTGGAAAAAGGTACTCACTGATGAATTGCTCGGGGCCGGCAGCCCCCGTTTCAGTCAGCTGACCCAGAACTTTCAGAAAGCCTGGAATGAAAATGATCATTTCTGTTAGTGTTTTTTTAAAAACAATGTTAGACATCTTCCAGAAAATGTCAGATACAAATACAAGAAGTATACAATTCACTAAAGAATGTAAAAAAAAGCTCCAAGGAACCACCGTGTTCCCAAACGCAGTAAAAACTGAACAAAAACTAGGTAACCTTTAATTAAAATAATAATACTGTAATAATAACAGAAGTATACAAGTAAAGATGACAGGCAGGGTAAAAATATTTTAACTAAATAAAATGGAACAGATTAACAAGAAATTCAACAACACATATAAAACTGAAAAAGCAAAATGTAAAAAAAATTAAAAGGACACTTAAGCCTTTCTCTTGACCCTCCTAGTCTTTTTGCAGTTGTGCTTCTGTAACAGACCGAGAGTAAGCGTTTTGAGCTGGAAATTTTCTTCTGCCCATATTTAATGAAGTGTAAATTCAGTGCATTTAAGATTTGTCACTGTCAGAGAATCATGAAGCTGGAAGGGGCCTGTAAGGCCACTGAATCCGACTCCTTGCTCGAGGCAGCAATCCAAATCAAAGGATGTCTGCCAGGGGGTTGTCCTAAAGTTTCCCTTGAAGGCCTCCAGTGTTGGAGCACTCACCGCCGCCACCTCTCTTGGTCACTGGGGTCCAGGCAGAAAGATAATGACAAAGTCAGACAAAAAACAAACTGATGAGGCTATCTGATGCACAAATACAAGATATACTAGAATTTTTTAGATTGAACTTTTCTTACTCATTCTTCTTTCAAAATGCATCGTTACTTTATTTTGAAGACTTTTAAAAAAAGGTTCCAAGTCTTTTCTGTATACTACTACAGTTTTATGATGTTCTTAACTGCTACTCTCAGGATCTCAGTCCTAATATCCTGCATGTACAAGCTTTGACGAACAGCCAGGAGTCCTATATTTGTAACCTTAAAAAGGTTTTTTTTTAGGTAGCTAACCTGCTGACACAAGCTTTCAGGTTGTACAGGATTCTTCCAAGATGGATTAAAAGTTTTTGTGACGTTAAGGAGTTTGCTTTCTCGTCTGACCCATTTCTGCGATGACAAAGCAAAGTGCTTTGGAAGCTGCCCTTTCTATTCTCTAAATTAAATTTACTGATAGCCCGGCAGCAAAAGGCAAAAACTCTTTTAAAATTATATTACACCTATAGGTTTGAAGACCATGACATGTAGGATTTGACACAAATCATTTCCTTTAACCAATAAAAATAATAATTCATGTGAACAATACTGTACCTCGGTTGATGTCTGTGATGCAAAGAGGTCTCAAGACTAAACCATCACCGGGATTCGTAGGAGAAATGGCAGGGGAAAATGTCACCGTGTTCTGGCTCCAGTCCAGTTCCCGAAGGAGGCGAGGATCATACAAGGAGATACTGTCAGGCTTTAGGGTTGCTGCAGGCATCATGGCAGCTGAGGAAGCCAGTGTGATTCTGTAATAGAAAGACACACTGATTCACATAGCTGTTATTTGCAAATAATGTCAAGTTTCCTTGGTGGCTTGCTAATTTTAACTTTATGCACTACAAATTCTAAATCTCTTAGGATCTTATTAAGTATCTCTTAACAAGCTTCTGTCAGTGTGCAAGGTTTTTCAGATGACCGAATGGCTTCACCCTAGGGTGAAACTAGTCCCTTACATAAAATCCAGGATCACCACTAAACTGCAACTCCATGTCAAGTCCCAGTTGATACTTTATCTTGTGTAATTACCATTTCCCTGGGGCTAAAACAATATGAACCAGAAAGAAGGAATCCAGGGAAGATCATTCAACCAAGTCTTTAAGGGTACTGAGAAGACTTGATTTATGTATATGCTGTTGCACTTCTTCCTTCCAGGTGTATCATGAATTAACCATCCCACGCTACTACAGATGGGCACGAACCGGCCTTTTAGGTTTGACCAATGGCCACACAGCTGTTCTGTGGTTCCGACCCCACCTCCTCTGGTAGGCAACCACTCAAATGCCCAAGTTAAATACAAACTATAATGCAGTCCAATTTAAGTTACTACCTAAAGCCAACAATTCATTTATTTAAAATATTTCTATCCTACCTCTCCCCCCCCCAAAAAAAGTACCCAAGGTGGCTTTAACGGGGAATGGGTGCCATGGTGATGTAATGTAAGGTTAATAACATTAGAACAGTCTTTGCTTTTTCATGTCATGGGAGTCCTTGAACTCAAAACATACCAAAAGCAGAGGTTAAATAAACATTCTAGTACAGATAAACAAAAATCTGAACGGCAAATGTTTTCATTTAAGGCTTACTCCCATATATTTTGTGATTCCGAAGAGTTATCCTAAGTTTGAACTGACTTAATGCGACACATTTATTAATTATTTTAACATCAAGATAAATTGGTTTGCTAACTAATACAGGATTTTTTTTCGATGAGACTCATCTTATATCAAGCTATCGCTATAGTGATCACTGAGAAGACAATGAAATGGGTTGGGGATGATATTTCTGTTCCCTTTTTGCCAGCCGGGCAGGCCTCAAATACATTCCAGTCCTCCTCCATCTCAAAGTCTCTCTGCCCTACTAGAGCAGGACCCTGATTCCCTGTAGATTGGTATCCACGGTTTCGGTTATCCACAACCCTATCTGTAACATACAAGGGGGTGGGCCCTGTGGTCTTTGTCCTGCCTCCTTGTATGTTGTATGTAGGGCTAGTAAGCTAGTAGAATGTGGGATAGATAGTGCTACTGTGGATTTGTAATTGGTTGACCAAACCCAAAGGGTGATCACAAATGGCTCCCCTTCGTCCTGGAAAGAGGTGACTAGTGGGGTGCCCCTGGGTGCTGTTACGGGTCCCGTGTTATTCAACATCTTTATCAGTGACTTGGATGAAGGAATAGAGAGTATGTTGATTAAATTTGCAGATGATACCAAATTGGCAGGGCTTGCCAACTCCCCAGAGGACAGGATTAAAATTCAAAATGACCTTGACAGAATAAGAGTCCGGGGCCAAAATTAACAAAATGAATTTCAACAGGGAGAAATGTAAGGTCCTACAGCTAGGCAGAAAAAATGAACTGTACAGATATAGGATGGAAGATGCCTGGCTAGACAGCAGTATCTGTGTAAGGGATCTAGAAGTCTTGGTAGACCACAAACTGAACATGAGTCAGCAGTGTGATGCCACTGCCAAGAAAGCCAATAAAATTCTTGGTTGCATCAATAGGGGTATAATGTCTGGATCAAGGGAAGTGATAGTACCACTCTATTCTGCTTTGGTCAGACCTCACCTGGAGTATTATGTCCAGTTCTGAGCATCTCCGTTCAAGAAGGATGTTGACAACCTGGAACGTGTCCAGAGGAGGGCGACCAAAATGGTCAAAGGTCTGGAAGGCATTTCCTACGAGAAACGGCTTAGGGAGTTGGGAATGTTTAGCCATACAAAAAGAAGGTTCAGAGGGGACTTGATAGCCATGTTTAATTATTTGAAAGGATGTCATGTTGAAGAGGGGACAGGTTTGTTTTCCAGGGCTCCAGACACTAGGACAAGGAGCAGTGGTTTCAAACTACAGGAAAAGAGATTCCACCTGAGTCTCAGGAAGAACTTCCTGACCGTCAGAGCTGGTCGACAGTAGAATAGGTTGCCTTGGAGTGTGGTGGAGTCTCCTTCTTTAGAGGTTTTTAAGCAGAGGCTGGATGGTCATCTGTCGGGAGTGTTTTGATGGATGTTCCCGCGTGGTGGGGGGGCTGGACTGGATGGACTCAGTGCTCTCTTCCAACTCTACGACTCGCTACTATCTGTGATTTCAGGCTTTCATGATAGACGGGGGAACAGATCCTCCTTTTGATGGATGTTCCCACGTGGTGGTGGGGGCGCTGGACTGGATGGATTCAGTGCTCTCTTCCAACTCTATGACTCGCTACTATCTGTGATTTCAGGTTTTCATGATAGACGGGGGAACAGATCCTCCACAGATACAGGGTCCCTACTGTATTCTGATTTTCAGGTACTCTTCATTAACATGCTAATAACAGCATAAGCAAGGAACAGCTGGCCCAATGGATCTGCCACCCCACAGCAAGTGGGGGAAGGAGAAGAGTCTGAGCCACTGGCCAGGCTTACTTTTGGCTCCTAAACTTCTATACAAAAGGGGACACTTGGATGCTCCTGATTTAGGTGATGCAAAATATAAGTTCAGGGCTCATTCAGGTTTTGACATGGGCAGCCCCCACATGCCACATGCAAACACAGCAAGGCTAAAGAGGGGCCACTGCTCATACAGAAACGTTAAAAAAAATTTCAAGGGCTGCAGCCGGAACAAGAGGAGCTGTTTGGAAGCTGGCTGCTCTCAGAAACATTTTTCTCTCAACATCCATTGGAAGAGCGATGAACGTTTTAACTGGGTACCGTAACATTTCCATGATTCCTAGTTTCTCTCTAACACGTTCCAGGATATAAAGGTCTCATAGTTCCTGCCTGACCCAGGGAGGCAAACTTTACAGCTGAGTCACCTGTTAAAAGATCAAAATGATTGGAAGACAATGTTTGCTGTGAGATGAGAAAAACTAACAAGGAAATGACCGACTGTATTTTGCATCTTTCCACCTCACCAGTTTCTCCTTGTGTGACAGGTACCTTAATTCACGCACGGTTAAACTGGTTATGCTGAAAGCAGTTGTTTTTTTGAATCTGAAAGGAGGTCTCCAAATGAGCATTTTGGTGATGCATCTATGGGCAATATAAATATCAAATAAGTTGGCATGTATAGCCAGGGAGGGGAGAACCAGTCTCTCTGATCATCACAGTTTTTTTAAGCTCTTGGAAAAGAAAGATATATTAAAAGCAGCACCCTCTCCTCTCTTACGAGCTTGTCCTGCTGTCTTGTTTTGTTTTTAATGGGGAAATGGAATTTATCTCAGAAAGATAAATGTCACACAGCAGTCACTGGTTACCATCATCCCACATGATTCATCGCTTCCGGCTCTCTCAAATACACACGATGGTGCACACCCGCCCACAATGACAAGAGCACTCCACCGACTAACCCGGCCTTGTCCCAGCCGTGCTCATCTGAGGTCCCGTCATGGGCACACAAGAAATATTTTGTATTTTGAGTGGCGACAGGCCCAGGTTCCCCACCCAATGTCTATTCTGTTAGGAAGCTCTAACGCCCTAATAAGAGGATGGGGTGGGGACCATGATGTTTAATTTTCCATACTGGCTACACATGGCTTAGTTACATCCTGTCTGGATTACTGTAACGCGCTCTACGTGGGGCTGCCCTTGATGACTGTTCAGAAACTTCAGCTGGTGCAAAACTCTGCAGCCAGACGATGGCCTGGGGAGAGCTACAGGGAGCATATAACACACCTGTTACAAGAACTGCACTGGCTACTAGTCTGTTTCCGAGCCCAATTCAAAGTGCTAGTCATGACCTCTAAAGCCCTCTACAGCTTGGGTCCAGGCTACCTGAAGGACCTTGTCTCCCTATATGCGTCTTCTCAGCGGTTAAGATCAGCAGAGGAGACCCTCCTCTCGGTCCCATTGCGAGCACAAGCCCAGCTGATGGGGACAAGGGAGAGGAGGGCCTTCTCGGTGGCAGCTCCCAGGCAATGGAACGCTCTCCCTCGGGAGATCAGGAGGGCCCCTTCCCGGTTATCCTTCTGAAAAAAAAGCTAAAGACCCATCTCTTCAGGCAGGCTTTAAAGAATTACAGCTGAATCCCTGAACCCTATTTTAGCAGATAATTTTAATCTTTTTTTTTTGGTGTTCATGTTTTAAAATTTTAATAATATTTTAAATCATATATTTATCTTTTAATATTTAACTTATTATGTTTTTAAATTGTGTGAATTTTAATGTTGTGAGCTGCTTTGGGTCCCTTGTTGGGAGAAATGCAGCATATAAATAAAATGAATACTACTATTACTATTACTATTACTATTACTATTACTACTACTACTACTACTACTACTACTACTACTACTAC